TTAATCACTGGGTCTCCCATAGGGTTCAGTGTTACTCACTGGGGCTCTCATAGGGTTCGTTGTTAATAAGTTTTCGTGACTGCAAGGGTACATATTCTTTGGTTTTTTCGGTAAAGTCACGTAGGTTACAAAATAAAATAAAAAATAAATTAAATCTCAACGTTTCGGAGGCAACACAAGCTTCCGTCTTCAGGTGGCACCGTCACAGCAGTAATTTTGCTGTGCCACCTGAAGACGGAAGCTTGTGTTGCCTCCGAAACGTCGTGATTTCGTTGTTAATCACTGGGGCTCCCATAGGGTTGAGTGTTACTCACTGGGGCTCCCATAGGGTTCAGTGTTAATCACAGACCCATAGATTCCTAAAACCCTAACCCTATAAACACGTAAGCCTCTACCCCTAACCCTCAAAACCCCTATACTCTGAAAACTATGACCCTCTAATCCCCTTCACCCTTAACACCCTAACCTTTTAATCCCCTTAACCCTTAAACCCCTCACCCACTAAACCCCTATGCCTCTAAATCCAACCCCCTAACCCTTTGAACCCCTAACTTTCTCCAATCCCATTATAAAGGTTTTTTTGCAGTAAGATCGTGTAAATATAAATGTCTTAAAACCCGTCACCACCCGACACAGCCAATTAATAAAGTTTGTCACGTGAACAAAAAGTGCCAATTAGTTTCTATTTTAGCACATCGGTGTGTTGGAGACTAACCCAAATACACCTTTATTATGAATAACCCCTCAACCCCATAACTCCCCCTGTGCCACCCCCCATGTCCTCCCTCACCCCCCTCACCCCCCCCCAGCTGCTACTTCCGTTGAGGCCGGGGCGAGTGGAGGCGGCGCTGTGCATTGTGGGTGGCGAGAGGCTGATTTGGATTCCCGCTCACGGCCACCGTCGGTGGCTCGTGGCGGCTCGCTGGCTGGGCCTCCTCTACGTCGACTCAGCCAGAAGAAGGTGAGAACCAAGCACGGTGTGGACACATCAGCAGTGGCGGTGGTGGGGGGGAGACAAAGGAGGCACCTGGCCCACAGGTGCCTCCTTTGTCTCCCTCCTCTCTCCCCGTGTCTCCCTCCTCTCTCTCCCGTGTCCCCCTCTCTCTCCCGTGTCTCCCTCCTCTCTCTCTCCCGTGTCTCACTCCTATCTTTCCCCGTGTCTCCCTCCTCTATCTCCCCGTGGCTCCCTCCTCTCCCAGTGTCTCACTCCTCACTCCCAGTGTCTCACTCCTCACTCCCAGTGTCTCACTCCTCACTCCCAGTGTCTCCCTCCTCTCTCCCAGTGTCTCCCTCCTCTCTCTCCCCGTGTCTCCCTCCTCTCTCTCCCCGTGTCTCCCTCCTCTCTCTCCCCGTGTCTCCATCCTTTCTCTCCCCATGTCTCCATGTCCCCTTCTCTCTAGGTGGTGCAGGTTCAGGAGTTTACTGGCTGCACTCCGACCTTTGGCCTTGGCTGTCGCCCAAGTGGGATTGTCGCACAGCAGTCAACCCATAGCATCAGTATCTGTCCCATGACCTCCTCCTGCACCTAGCCTGGCACAGCAGTCAACCCATGACACCTGACTCTATCCCGTGACCTCCTCCTGCACCTAGCCTGGCACAGCAGTCAACCCATGGCACCTGGGTTGTTGTGATATCACCATCATGTAGTTGCAAATTACGGCTGTTGTCGTTGTGAGTTTGTAGGTTTTTGTGTGAGTAATGGTGCGTGTGTGACTTTCATGACGTGTGTGAGAGTAGGTTGGTAGGGGTGTGTATCATGGTGAGTGTGTGGGTGTGCGAGTATTATGGTGAGTGTGTGGTTGTGTTAGATGGCTGGCAATGTTGATGGGTGGTGATGATGCAAGGCTTGTGCTCGAGAATGGCACACTGAAACTAATAGTGGAGCAGATTGACAGTGGAGCAGAGCGCAGTGGAGACGTGGGGCAATAGAGCAGAGGAGCAATGGAGCAATGAGGCAGTGGAGCAAAGGAGCAGTGGGGCATTGGAGCAGTGGATCAGTGGGGCAGATTAGGGGTTGATTTGTCGTGAAGAAGGCGAATCACCTGAATATGTGCTCTGAAGAAGAACCATTTCCCAAAACGTTTCTTTTTATCTATTTGTCCTCGTCCCGCCGCACACACAGCCGGGACACCGCACACACAGCCGGGACACCGCACACACGAGCCAAGGCACATTAAACCAACCCAGGCAGCACTCGCAAGCAATGCAACGTTACGTTGTGTCCTCATGAGTTCAATTTCACAAAGTTTATAGTAACAACAACAACAAAAATATTGATCCTAATTCTTAACCGGGTGGCCTTAAGACTTAGCACGTGCAGGTGTTGTTCATTGTCTGCACCAGACCCCTCCAGCAGTCTCATTCTGGGTCAGCTGCCCCTTACATGTCCTGGAAACCATGGCATGAGGAGCGCCTGGATGAAAACCAGCATGGAAGGGGCCCAGTGTGGGGCTGGCTATGCTAATGGAATAGCCCCATGTGTGTGTGATGTGAGGTCTCCTGGCAGCAGTCATTCTCCGCTGCAGTGCTGGCATCTGCTGCTCCGTTTCATTCCCCAGCTGTGGTCCCAGTGGCACCGTGGGTCGTGTGGTGATAGCGGTCACGGTTGGCACCGATCCACGACCACCACCTCTACTGGGCGGTGTACCTGCCTCCACAAAGTAGCATGTGGCGGAGGAGTGAGGTGAACGCTCTCGCCATGCGAGCGAGGCCCCCTCGCTTCCTCTTCTTTTCGTGCATCTCCACCTGCACCTCCTCCATCTTCTCCTGTCTCATCCTCCTCCATCCCCTCTTCTTCATCCTCCACCGCCATCTTCTCCTCTACCTCCTTCTCCTCTTCCTGTGCCACCCTGTCTTCTCCATCTTCTCTTCTTACACTCGCACCATCTCTTCCTCCTTCATCTCCTCCTCACCCTCTTGCACCACCATCTCCTCTACCCTCTTCTCTTCCTCCTCCACCACCACCATTGTTTCCGCTTTGTCCGTAGTCTCCATCTCCTCCACCACGACCATCTGTTCATCGTTTGTTGTCGCCTTGTCCTCCATCTCCGTATTGTCTTTATCCTCTCCCTCCGTGCTCTCCTCCATTGTCACCATCACAATCTCGTCCTCCTTTGCCTTCTTTTCCTCCAATTTCTCCTCCATCTCTACTTCATTCTCCATCTCCTTCATCTCTTCCTTCGTCTCCTTCGTCTCCTTCTGCACAACCTCTGACTTCGCTTCAAAGGCCTGGAGGAGTGAGGAGGAGGGCTGCTTTGGCTCAGATCTGTGAAGAGACAAACACGACACCGTTCCACTTTCCTGCTACGGCAGACATCGCCATCTCCCATGGTCCGTGGGTGTAATGCGTGGCGCATTAATTCAAGCTTAATACAAACAGCAATAACGACATGGCCAGTGAGTGTGCTTAGCATTGGCGCTGTCATTCTCATGGGGCAAGGCTATCCTTGAGATTGATTCAGCTGTGTCTCACACAGACTGTTGTAGTTTCACAGTAGTGGGTGGCCTTGCTGTGTCAATTTAGCTGAATCATTTGTAGTGACATTTTTCTTTCTATGTGTATTCTAAGTGATCCCTTGGACATAATGGCCTACGCATTTAAAATGACCGGTGGATATCCTGAACATCCACTGTGACGGAATGGGTGTGTATCTTTGTGGTTAATGCGGCGGCAGTAATATCCAGGGCGGGAAGCAAGATCTGAACTGTAAGTGGTGAGCGATGAGTGCGCGACCCTTTGGCTGCTTCAACCAATCCACGATTTCGATCAACTATCCGACAGTGATTTGAGGTTGACAGAGCCGCCTCCCTTGACGTCGAAGGCATCTCAGAGTGCATTGAGCGCGATGAGCCACTCACATCTCGCATCTCTCATCTCAACGCATTTGAAATTGGACACCCCTCCCAGTGGTAGCTGTCTCTGTGCATTACAAGGCAACTTGGCAGCTGGCCTGGAAACAGGCAATTATTACGGTGGATGGAGGGTTAAATGGTGAAATATGGCCGCATCGTTATCTGGTCTCACCCAGAAACCAATTATTGAAAGTAAATCTGTCCACAGTATAGCGCAATGTACACGTGGGGTTTGCAGTGTCTGTGTATTTTGTGAGTGCGGCAGGGCTGGAGCACCTGTGCCTCAGCAGCAGAAGGGACCTGGGTTTGATTTCCACGTTGGGCCACGTTGGGCCACGTTATCTGTGTGGAATGTGCTGCCCCCTGTTCTGGGAGGATTCTGCAGCTTTCTCCCTGTAACTGAACCCACACAATGCAAATCGCTCAATTTGGATCACAAACAGCAGCAACTTTGTTACCAACTGCGAGCAAACTTGACAGGACCCTTCTGAAAAAAAGTATTGAGACTTAGTGAGGCTCATCCTGCGTAAACAAGCATGATAATAAATAAATTAAAATAAACACGCACTGGACACACGCAGAGTGGTTTACCGTGGCTCAGCGCCTCCAGAGTTTGCTTTCTCTTCTTGGAAGCCCTCTTCTGCAAAGCTTGGAGCAATCGGGCCCTGCACAGGAGTGGCGGCGGTGGTGGTGGCGGCGACGGTGGCGCTGGCGGTGTTGCCAGAGGCGGTGTCGGTGGTGGTGGTGCTGCTGGTGATAGCGGTCTGGAGCCAGTGTTGCTCGATCTTGGCGAGGCGCTGCTCCTCCTCTAGGCGCTTTTCCTCCATGAGGCACTTTTGCTCCACTAGACGCTTCTCCTCCACTAGATGCTTCTCCTCCATCAAGTGCTTCTCCTGAAGTTTCGCCTCAATGAGGCACTTCTGCATGAGACGTTTCTCCTCGACAAGCTTCACCTTGCAAAGCCGACTCTCAAGATGCTTCTTCTTCTCGAGATGCTTCAGCTCTATGAGACGCTTCACCTCAAAGAGGCGATTGTCTTCCTCCACCCGCCTCTCCTCTGAGGCACTTCTCCATAAGGCACTTTTCTTCCTCCACCCGCTTCTCCTCTATGAGGCGTTTCTCCTTCATGAGGAGCTTGTCTTCCTTGACCCGCTTAGCTTCTGAGGCGCTTCTCCTCATCGACACACTTAACAATGGCGAGATGCTTCTCCACCTCCAGATGCTTCTCCTCGAGATGCTTCACCTCACGAAGGCGCTTTTCCTCCATGAAGCGCGTTTCCTCAAGAAGGCGCTTTTCCATGACGCATTTCACGTCATTGAGGATCTTGTTTCGAAGGCACTTCTGCTCTGTGAGGTGCTTCACATTGGCGAGGCGCTTCACCTCAATGGGGCGCTTCTCTTCCATGATGCGCTCCTCCGCAAAGCGCTTCTCCTTGAGATGCTTCTCCTGGAGATGCTTCACTTCTGCGAGGTACTTCACTCTGGAGAGACGCTTCTCCTCCATGAAGCGCTTCTCCATGGAGCGCTTCTCAATGAAGCGCTTCTCCTCAATGAAGCGCTTCTCCTCCATGAAGCGCTTCTCCTCCATGAAGCGCTTCTCCTCAATGACGCGCTTTTCCATGAGGTGGTTCTTGAGGAGATTGTCTGGAAGGCATTTCTCCTCTGGGATGTGCGTCACCCTGGCAAGGCGCTTCATCTCAATGAGGTGGTCCTCTTCCATGGTGCGTTTCTCCTTCGCAAGGTGCTTGTTCTCCTGGAGACGCTTCACCCCGCTGAAGTTCTTCACCTCCCCAATGCTCCTCTGTTCACGCGAAGAAAAGCACAGGACCATTCAGACATGCACACGCAGGACAAAATTCATACTCCCAGGCACACAAACATGGACGGGCACATACACAAACAAAAATGCATGCTCGCACATCTATGTACGAATGCAAACATGAACATTTACTAATGCAAACATGCTAGAACACGTGAATATACACCACGTAATGTTATAAAAAATACATGTTACATCATATATTCTCACAAGTTCCATAAACGTACTTAAGGCTGTGATAGTCTGCGACGAGTTCATGGCCATTGTTGGCAACAATCATTACGGGCAAAAAAATGTCCACAATGTTCGATTGCAAAGATCTGGAAGCCCATAATCTGGACAAATTTTACTGCAGCATCGATAGTAGGCAACTGGAATGGCAACTTCCAATCAGCTCACAGACGGAATTCATGAGATTGCATGATATCATTCTGTCTTCATTGGCAAAATAAATGGCAACTTGAAGTGCTTGCACGAGTGGGATATGGCAGCACGTGATGGTGGAGAGATGGAGTGATGGTGTCGGGAGATGGTGTTGTGATTTGGAGGTGAAATTGTGGAATGTTCTGGAGAGATGGTGTCTTGTGATGGTATAGACGCATTATGAGGCGCTATGATGGTCTATTGAGTTGGTGGTGGTGTGATGAGAAAGTTGACGTGGAGAGATGGTGTGGTGATGTTTTGGTGCAATGGTGTGGTGAAATGGTGTGCTAGTGTGGAGTGAATATGGTGTTTTGACCCCCATAGATCCCATAGCCACCTTTGGGGAGCGATGATCGTAGCTTTGGCCTGGGAAAGGGTCCACTTCATCCATAATGTCCCCCCACGTGGTCGACTGGCGCCACGACTCCCGGTCTATGGAGAACAGAAAATGCATTCAAAGGACGAGTAATGAATTAGAGAACGAAGCACATGAAGATTCACAGAACTAATTCTGAGGTCCCTGTAATTACCTCTGACCACACAACAGGACCTGCTATTGAGAAATATTCATCACATGGCAGTAAAACTTTACGCGTCATATTTTTGTAAGCATGTTGAGATCATCAATTTCATAAACTTGAGACCCCCATTTAAACAAATATGGCTGAAACTCAGATCTGGAATGAGACAAATTATTTTACTTTCAGGAATTTAATAGTTAAAAAATATTCTCAAAATCAAACAAGTAAAGCTCGATTTATCATTCCCCATTGACGTCCTTATCGATTGAAGCTATTCGTCCTGAAGTGAAAGCCATCAAACACAGGAACAACGAAAGTGAAATCCACATACATCCTGAAACCGATCATCTGCAGTAGTTATTATTAAACAATGAGGAAAATGAAGGAATTTTAAATATATATTGGGCAAAGATGTGATCAGTCTTTTCCAACTTTAGCTCAACAAAACCACGAGAGTAAAATCAGGAATTGAACCACCTCACAACCACTGCACATCACACCACATCAACAAGTAATCCGATAGGACTACGAAGCACCACCTTAACGTGACGGAGTCTGGAATAAACAAGACAGCACGCTCACATCATTTGCTGTGAGAAAATTACAACACATACCACCTACCATGAGCACCAGCCATTTAACAGCCCCGATGATCCAATTACTAGAACATAAAAGGAATGCTTTCATTGGAACACGTTAAAAAGCATTCACAACATCACTCTAGCAGGGGTTACTGGAAATCACTGGAAAAATATTTAAGATACACGAATATACACAGTGCAACAGTACTCAATACATTTGACTCTCCAGCCACTCCACTACATCCAGCCATCTCTCAGGATCAAAACTGCATGGGGTCAAAAGAAGAATTGTCGTCAGGACTCATTACATCCAATACATTCAGCCATCTCTCAGGATCCACCAGCATCGGTTCGAAAAGTGATTTTTTTTCAGGACTCATTGCAGCACTTTGCATTTCACCTTTTGATTTCACTTCCCTATCATTGGAGATCTTCTGATGCTTGTTTCGGGTGATGACCGTGAACTTGTCCTCTACCTCGTAGAGCATTTGAATTGCTTCTCACCCAAGTGTGTTTTCTGGTGAGTGTGAAGATTTGATTTCCATGCAAATGCCTTCCCGCACACAGCGCAATTGAATGGCGTTTCACCCGTGTGTGTTTTCTGGTGACTTTGAAGATTTTGTTTCAGTGAAAATGCCTTCCCACCCACAGAGCAATTGAATGGCTTCTCACCCGAGTGTGTTTTTTGGTGATTGTTAAGTGTTGCCGACTGTGAAAATGCCTTCCCACAAAGAGAGCACTTGAATGGCTTCTCACCCGTGTGTTTTCTAGTGAGTGTGAAGATTTGATTTAAGTGAAAATGCCTTCCCACAAAGAGAGCATTTGAATGGCTTCTCACCCGTGTGTGTTTTCTGGTGACAGTGAAGATGTGATTCCCGTGCAAATGCCTTACCACACAGAACAATTGAATGGTTTCTCGCCCGTGTGTTTTGTGGTGTCTGTTAAGAGTTTATTTCTCTACAAATGCCTTCCCGCACACCGATCAATTGAACGGCTTATCATCCGAATGTGTTTTCTTGTGAGTGTTAAGATTTGCTTTCTGTGAAAATTCCTTCCCACACATAGCAATTGAATGGCTTCTCACCCAGTGTGTTTCTTGGTGATAGTGAAGATGTGATTCCCGTGCAAATGCCTTCCCACACACAGAACAATTAAATGGATTCTCGCCCGAGTCTGTTTTTGGTGACAGTGAAGATGTGATTTCCGTGCAAATGCCTTTCCACACATCGAGCTATTGAATGGCTTCTCGTCCGTGTGTGCGTGGCACTGTGGAGAGTTCATCTGCTCCATGTGACTGATTCATCAGAGCAGAGTAACAGTCTCGGGTGTTGTTGAGTTAAAGGCGCCCTCTAAGCTGTTTGGATATCTGGCTCAAATCGCCAATAAGCAAACTCTCACTAACGTCTAACCGAGACAGTAACGCCCCGTAAGTCGAACTACACACGCGATTACAGTTTATCCACTAACAAAGACACTTGTTGATGCACGGCGTATCGATGTCCCTGTAACCCGTCTGAAGAGATCGCCACGAACTCTCCCGAAGCGAAGTCGCCAACCAGTCGCCAAGCAATCGTGCTCGCCAGGCTGGGTCTCGTGGAAGAAGGGTAATCTGCAGAGCGAGGAGTTGCGCGTCTATCCTCAGTGAAATCCCTCTCGAAATGGTCTTGAAGTCTGATTTTATGCCCCTTATAACTTCCCTCTAGCATCCAAATTATTTGTTCTCGACTTGGCCTATCATGGACTTTGCATTCAATTGTTAATTCTTACATTAACAATCTGCATATCTAGCAACAGCTTAGCTAATCTGGCCATTGTAATTAAACCTTAATACGTATGTACATCTCACTGCATAATTGTACGCTTCCGTTTGAATAAAGATCTACATCTCCAAGTCCGTGCTTCCTGTGAATTTGCTAATATTCACCCGGCTATGTCCTCTAAACTGCTGCAAGTTTAGAGGATTAAACAACGACATACAGTCTAAAGAATACAACTGATGTCCAGTTTGATTTGGACTAAGAGGTCAAATTTATACTGTACTTGCTTTGTTTCATAAATACATAGAAGTGCACTCGTGTTAAGCGGGTGTTTCTAGAAAACGAGGTTATGTTATAATTTCCGTTATAAACTTTGAATAATCATCTGAATGGTTTAGTTTGTAAGCGTGGTTTAACATGACATACCACAAAAAAAATCAATCATCACCATTTAGTCTTCAGTGTGTATGTATACTCTTGTGTATGTGTTCAATATTTTGCACGTGTTTTATATTTTGGACGTGTTTTTGTTTTGGTAATTGCATTGAATATGGAGGGGTTACCAGCACCTTGCACCCGTCCAGACACCTTGTGGGCCTCTGTGGTGGCTACGAGACGTCCCTCCAGGACATTGCTCTTATCCTTCACAGCGTTACCGACCCGGAACGCCGATGAGGTTGAAGGCTGTTTATACAGAAATGTATTCGTGGCAGGGGAATGCCAAAAAAACATGGAGTGGCTATTCTTCTGGAAAAAATAACCGTATACGTATGTGTGTGTAAATGTTTGCAGGTACAATCGTGCGTTTTCGCAGTGGAACGCAATCCTTGTCTGTATGTATGTACACCGCTGTATATGCACACTCGTGTGTGAATGCACACCGCTGTATATATACAGTCGTGTTTGGATGCACATTAGTGCGCGCATGTCTACTTGTCCGTGTTTTTTCAAGGAAGGAAATGGTAGTAATAATGTACGATCAGTCATCTTTAAAAACAAATCAGGTCTTCATTGATCTGCAACAATATTAACGTTAAAACTCGCGTAAAAATCTTTATTAATTCGTTTTTCAAACAGTTAAGGAACTCGGAAAATTATTTCACTTTCAGAGGCCTCGTGGGCCGCTGTGGTGGCTACGATACTTCCCTCCAGGACATTGCTCACATCCACCGCAGCGTTACCGTCCGTCACCGCCGATGAGGTAGCGGATTCTTTTCACGGAACTTTACTCGTGGATGGGGAATGCCAAACAACAGGGGGCTCTTCTTCTGAGAAAAAAAAAACGAATCAAGGGGGCGTGGGAGCGTGGCGTAAGGTGTGGAAAGCGCTAAGCCCCAGGCTACCGTGGGCACACCTCCCAATCAACGGGAGGCGAGGAGTGGTGGTTGCTCATGCATCCACCGAAGATGCATATAAGTCGAGTTAGATTCCTTCTCTGACCTCCTACATTATAATCCCACTATACTCGGATGTATGCATATATATATATATTTGCGGACCTAGGGACGGATATGCGTACTGGGGGTGCGGGATTAGAATTGCACTATAATTATTAGGATCGCATTGTGGCCGCATTGTAATTTGCTGAATGTACAATCTCAATGGATTGGAATAGCTATTTACAGTATTTATTAACAATTAACCGCACAATCCTAATCAAAACTTGTTGAGCATATTTATTTTATATTTATTGTGCCATTCAAATCCCGCAGTTCGCATATAGATACATACACAATGCATTAATTCGAGCACAGTGTGATTCTATTACGGGATATTATGAAAGGCATATGACTAATCGGTCTTGCCTGCATCCCTGCAATGATGTTCACCTTCGGGGTAGGCATGAGCAACCACCACTCCTCGCCTGGGGCATACAGCTTCCCACAGCTCACCGCCACAGTCCCATGCCCCTTCGTTATTTTGTTCAGAAGAGCCCTCTCCCTGTTGTTTGGCATTCCTCTTCCACGAGTAAAGTTCTGTAAAAACAACCCCCTACCGCATCGGCGGACGGTAAAGCTGTGGTAACTGTGAGCAATGTTCCAGAGGGAATGCTCATAGCGATCACAGCGGCCCTCGAGGTCTCCGGACTGTTGCGAGGGGCTGGTTACCCCTCCACATTCAATGCACTTACCGTGAAAACACGTGGAAAATGTGTCAACACATTCGTACACACAGCACTGTAATACACAAAGGTCTAAATACACACGAGCCTTTCTGCTATAGACTGAAATGCGATCATGGCTGCGTTACAATATAATAAACAACGCTTACAAACGATACCATCCAGATGGGTATCCACGGCAATTGTAACAATTTTAATTGATCGAATATAACAATTCACCTTCGTTTCTAGACACACCCTGATCA